TGCGGACCGTGTACTTCTCCTTCTCGTATCGCTACCGTAATTCTCTCTGCCTGGCATCGGCTACCGTGCGCTGAAAGTTGCATTAAACTCGGGACGAGAGAACGCTCGGCTAGGGGGAAAAAGGAAAACCGAAAGCCGGAAGATTCCTAGCGATACCGGGGCTCGTTCCTTCCCCGTCACTGGATACGTCCAACGATACGTGTCGTTATCTAACGCGACTTGCACAACACCGACAGAAACGGCGAAGAAACATGCGTCAGTTGGCAATGGTTCGGCTTCCGTTCGCCGTGAGTCGATGAAACTTTACCCTGATAACTCCTACTTGCGATTACCTTGCTCTGTCTGATGAACAAAATAGAAATCACGTTTGATATCGGACGAGCACTTTCTCTCTGGGTACGTACATACGTTACGCGGTCAATCGATGTCCGCGATGCTCTTAAATATACATATTAATCGTCCGACGAGGCAACGTGCTTTTCATTGCAAATCGAGTCGCCCACGAAACCGTAGCCGAGAAATTACTCGCGAGTTACGGTCCGGAAAAGCTGTAGAGTCATCGCGGCGATTATCCCAGGCACTGATAAGAGTCGAGGTATGCTGAAAACTGCGCATTTATCGCGAGATATATCCACGTTGTTAGATTAAATTAGCTACATCGCAATTAAGGATAAACGATGGCCAGGCATAGGAACGTTTGTCACGCGAGACTTCCTCCGCGGCGCTCCATAATTTCCCAAGTCGACCGGGCGATTTGTTTTACGGTTAAACGATCGGAATGAGTGGAGATTACGAGCCTTAATCCGATATACGACATCGTTAGCGAAGACGCGGTGGATCTTCTGGTTCACCATCCTTGGTCCGGCATCGCGTGATATAGGAAAGACGCAAAGGCCCGGTGCTGAAATGTGCACGCACCGCTGGGACAATGCTGTCCTTCTAGACGTCGTCGATGTGCCGATACAATGGCAACGGGCACGAGCCTACGTGTAGAACCCGTGTAGGTAGTCACTGACATTTTAAAATGTCAGCGGGCCCTCTCGCAATGCGCTGTTTATCATTTGGGTTACCCGCGAGTCGTCCGTGTAGTCGATATCTGTACCGGCGCTATGGAGATTCGTTATGGTGGTTCGACGCGAATTCGTCCGGTTATTGTTCTCGCGGTGACTGCGTGAAATAGGATTAAAGAGCGATCGAAGGAAAGACAAATGCGCCACGACAGGGACAAAAGACGTTTCGGTTGTACTCGTAGCACCTCCAGCGAGGAAATAAATCCTCTCCGTACCTACTCTCAACGATTTATTCCAATCCTTTTCCTTCGTTATCTCGTCCAAAAGGGTTCTAAATACCTCGAATAACCTTCTAAACGTAAGTTATTAAGCGACGGGAGTGCGAAAACCTCTGGGAGAATTTAACCTTTCGACGTAGTCAGCGTGAATCGCTAATCCTGAATCGCATGCTCTTCTTCGTTAAAAGACGTCGAGATTAATAACGATCGGCTTATTAAATCCGAGGCAGCGGGTAATTCGTATGCCATGAGGGAAGCGAGTAAAAAGAAAGCGTTAATCGAATGTGTTCGCGGTGCAGAACACTCGATGGACATTCCTTGTATACGCGTTAATGAAAATTGCTGCTCAGCTGAACGCAGCGTAATTATCCGCGTGTTGGTGCGTCTACTTGCACGCGTGGTATCTATCGCGATATCGGGGAATAAAATGAACGCGATAGAGTGAATCGCGTAATTCCGCTTGAGCCGTAACGGAGACACGCGGGACTTCTTTCCAAGCGGAAAGTGCAAAGAGTCGGAGAAAGCCTGGACAGAAACTTCTTTGCCTCGTCCTCCTACTCGTTTGATTCGCAGGTTTTACGGGATAGATACGTCGCGTTGTGTAATCCCTTCCATTAACGATATATCGTTCGCTGAACTCTGCGGGAGCGTTCGTCCGCTGCTACAGCGACGCGTGTACGATACCTCGGAGCTGGTAATGGAAAATCGCAACCCCTGCGTACGGAGAGCCTCGAATAGGATAAACACAGGATAAGAAGGAAATTGCCGGTGTTCGACTAACTCGAACGATTTCGATTAAATTAGTGGCCCACGGTTATGGCCAATCCACGTAACTTTTACATCGTTGTTAATTGCGCGTGACGGATTAAATGAAACGAGATTTCAGCCGGAATAGAACAGCCTTCGAGCCGATTCGCGGTCGCTTTTACTCACTGCTAACGACCGATCCACATTTCCTCGCGTGTAACGAGTTTCAGAAACATAAACACCTTTCCCGTCTTTTTCCAGGCATCGGTGAGAAACGGAAGAAGTTGCTCGTACAGTTCTCGTACAGTCTCGTACCCTCCACCGATCTTTATTACCGAGATTATACATCTATTCGTTCGTCCTGATTGATGTAACGACTATAATCGTCGCTCGGTTGTCGGTGCTGGCCTCGCTAAGCGTCGTTTAAATCGCCCTACTACTCTCCATCGGTTCGAGTTCTAAATTTACGACTTTCTCCGGGTAACGTGGACTCGAAGCACCGTTTCGATTTGTCTATTCGCAGCGATATGGAAATTTGTACGCGCATGCTTCACGCCCGATAAAATTAAAACGGCATGAACGTGCTTGTTAATGCGCCGCGGCGTCATTCAAAGTTTCCGTCGTTTCTAAACAATACGGGTTAATTTCCATCGCGAATATCTCTCGCTGGATGATCCCGAAGCTAGGCGAGACGCGATACGAGGCGCGACGAGGTACATCGATAAATTCCGCTGGAAAGCGGCATAATCCTACATTACGCTCCTCCACGTCACACGTGTCAATTCGTCTTCTTACAGTCGTTGACATAGATTCTTTGCTTCCTCCGTCATGTAACTTTTACGAGTCGCCACGTTCTCGTCGTTGCATTACGTCGTCCCGCAAGGCTCGTTACCGACACTCGTCGGGACCCGTCCGCTAAACTTCGTCGAGAGTACCATTCTCTAACGACCCTGATCCTGTGTGCTTAAAAGTTCTCGCTGATCCGCACCGACTGGATTGACACAGTTGGCGCGATGAATAGAGAACGCGTTAATCTTCGTTACGTAATTGCAGTTATTCGGTCGCCGCCGATGCAGCTTCGCGAGATCATCGGGGTGGAAAGAATCCTTTCTACCGTTCACGCGTCCAGGCGTTTGACCCCGCGAATTCCACGTATATACCTCGCGCAGACCATTCGTTGAAACTCGGTTGATCTTTGCTCGACCGCGATCCTCCACCGTCGAGATCTCTAATGTCTCTGATTTACGCGGAGCAATAAGACGCAATGACTGGTACGTCTTTTCTGTTCTTCCAACAATCGTGATCGCGCGATATATTTATTGCATACATCATCCGGGTATACGGACCAGTCGTTTTTTCCACGCGTACGCGATTATTCCATTAATAATACCGACACGACTGCAATACCTCGTTTTATCGATGACACGGTTAAACTCTTCCCGGCATTCGTCCGTTTGCGCAACCTTTGAGAGCTTCCAAAGCTTACGAACGAACGCGAGTTTTCGACTCGATCGTAATACCGGCAAGGAACCGCGTACCTGGTAAAGAAGATTTATTTAACATGGCCGTCGCGAATTCCTCATCGTCGCTGTCCCCTCTATCGCGAATTCTACCACGGAGTAACGCGATGCGTTCTACGATGTCAGAAAATAGGAGAACCTTACCGAGTGTCTGGCAGGCCGCGATCCCGAAACGTCAGGATCCGCTGGTCGCGTCGGGACGCGCCGATCAATAGAAGACCAAAAGGCACATGTCCCGGTAGCTTCTCACGCGGCGATGCTCTCCAGCTTGCCGGGCATGCCGCCTGCGAACGCCAGATAATCGTTCCGACAACGAGCAGTGCAGCGTCGATGTCGGCGATTAACCTCCCTCGTTTCTCCGCTAATCCAACCGCGTCTTCCTCCAACCTCGGCGAATCTTCCCGAATTGCGAGAGGTCAATGAACGATACCGCGAGGGATGATCGCAGAGGTGATCGACATCGACGACGGGCGTTGATGATCTCGTCGACAGGATTCTTCGTGACCGAGCGGAGAATTCATTGGTTCACTGCTCGAGAGCTGGAAGTTTCCATGAAAGCGCGCAGTGGGTGCGCGCGGCGAGTGGCCGGCGACGAGGAAACGATCAAACGGGCGACGTGGCGCGAACACCGACTCGCATCCTGCGACAATTGCGCGTGTTCGATCGTCGTGACGCGAATTAGGATAGTTTAGGGGTCGACGACGTGGAACGACGTCGAGCGACAGCGCGACGGGGATGCGAGGAACAGCGCGAAAGCCGAGAAAAGTCGGGACACTGGTCTGCCATCGGGTAGACCGACGACCCGGTGCGGCTCTCCCAACGCGGCGACGCACTGCGCCGACGTCGCGACGACGACGACGTCGTCGCCTAGGCGACCGCGCCACCTCTCGCTCTACTCTTCTCCGATGAACGAAGAGAAGCAAGAGGAAAACGAGGTGGAGGAGGGTGGATCGATCAATCGAACCGTTGCGAGTGTACGCTGGTCAGCGAGATATCGAGATGTCGAGAGGGAGGAAAAGACCAAGCCACTTTCCACTCTCGATGTTTTTCTTTTCCTCGGGGGAACACGAGCTTTCTCGCAGATTCCCCGCTTTTCCCCGGCAAATAGGGCCCGCTTTAACGTGCAAATGCTCCTTGCTTTTGTCCGTCTACTCTTCGCGTTTTTATTGCTCTAGTTTCAGACCTCGATACCTCTCGCTCGTGTGTCAACCTTTCAGCAGAACTGTGCGTTTCCGTCGTTTGAAAGCGATTTGAATAAGAGGCGGTGCACGCGCGAGAAAGTTTTCCCATAAATTCATTCTAGAGGGAGAGGGAGAAAATTCGACACTTCGTTACGGCTTTCAATCGATCCCTCGGCTGAATTTTAATACGTGACTGTAGGCGTTCGATAATCGATCACCTGTCATCGATTGATAACCGCAAAACTGCGAGGTTACGCGAACGAGATGGTGAAGAATGCTATCAAAGTTTACGCCAGATTGAAACCGGAGAAATGCCGGAAAAATACATTGGTACGTATCGCGAGACACCGCTTCGTGGTACGTTTATCACGTATGCTTCGTGTCCAAGAATTATCAGGTGCTGCATCGGCCGAAGAAAAATCTCGCGGAAGATTACCTGATTCTGGTTTCCCGCAATCAAAAATCAAAGGAATATCCCGATAATCGGCCCGAATCGTGGAATTTCTCGTAAGCCTCCGCAAAGTTCGACGCTCGATTAACAGTCATGTCTCTGAAACGTCGGAAACTTTCAGTTTCTTCCAAATTTTCGAGGAATCCTCGACGCAGGACGACGTGTTCGACAATGTGGCACGACCCGTGCTGGAAAGGTAAAAGGAACCGTATCGTTCGTTAATTAATAATCAGCCGACCCTCGAAAATTCACTAAGCTGTGCTATCTCGTTTATTAAAGTGCCCTCGACGGCTACAACGGCACCGTATTCGCGTATGGCCAGGTAAACCGAACAACGAATCGATAGAACGCGATAGCAGCTTCCATCCAGAGTATGTGTTGCGAGTGAGGAATCTATTTTCTCCAATCGAATCGCCTACCCTTCCAACAAAATTCCAAACTCGTGCCACATCCTCCGATGTTCCGTTCGCGAAACCTCCACGGTAAAGTATCCACCGCGAGAACGTTTGAAACCGTGAACTTCGCAGACGGCCAGCGGGAAAACGCACACGATAACCGGGAAGCTGGATGACGAGTACCGTGGCGTCATACCGAGAAGTTTGCAGTACCTGTTCGAAGAGATACGAAAGGTTGCGTATGCTGGCTGCACGGTGGCCGTTAGGTGGGTTCGTGCACAGATCCATGTACCGTCCTTAAATTCTATGCAGCGGCCGGAAAACGTGTACTCCATCGAGGTGGCTTATCTGGAGATTTATAACGAGATCGGGTACGACCTGCTGGATCGGAGGCAACTACGAGAGTTCGCGGTTACGAGATTGGAAGATTTACCGTAAGTCCCGGTGACGTAAATGGTGGCCCGTCGAGCAATGCGCGAACACGGATACGATGGTATTTCGTAAAAACCAGGGGGCCCCCCTAAAGGGAAACAGCCTGCTCGACCCGACCGATCAGCCGTGATTCCGACCGGCTTCAAATATGGAGCAACCGTGCGCAAGGTGCAACCGCGTCGCCTTTATGTCTTCCTCGTACCTAACCGCGTTACGGACGAATTATTTCTAATGCATTTTCTTTTTCCTTCTTTTTACGAAACGTAAGAAACGATAACAAATTCGCGGCTGACGCGTTTCAGGCGTATCAATATTCTGGAAGACGAGTTCGGGAGGCTACACACGAGGAATCTGTCGTTTCATTCTGTCAAAAATGTCGACGATGCGTTCGAGCTGCTTCTGTTAGGCAATAATAATCGGTAAAGTAATTCGTAACGTACACGTATAGTTGTGTGATCGTTTTGGGGGAAAAAGGGTGCCGTTTAATGGAAAAGCTCGAACGATCCTTCGATAGGGTAACCGCTGATACGCCGATGAATCGCCAGTCATCCAGATCGCATTGCATCTTTACCATCGTGGTTTCTACGAAGGAGTTTGGCGCTGAACAGTACAAACAAGCGAAAGTGCACCTCGTCGACCTAGCAGGGTTCGTATGCTCCGCCTTGTATCGACTGAGGGTACAAGGGCAGGAGGATTGCGAAGAACCAATAACCGGCTCCTAACCGAGGATAACCCTCTCTAAAGCACACTTCAGTGACGAATCTCACTCAGGCGTTTTAACCTAAAGCGACAAGAAATTTGTCGAAAGCTCGTTGTTGCGCGTGAACGTTTAAGAAATTGCGAAAGTGGATAAGTGAAAATTTGACTGAGAAAATGTCCAACAATGCCATCTTCGCAATCGCACGATCATAGATTTAAATTCCTTAAGCTCGAGTCGCACCTCGACGCTGACAATGCGGTGAAAATGAATTTTTCGAGATTACGCGTCGACATGTCGAATACATTACACGTCGACCCACTTGTCAGCGATAATTTTTCCTACTCGTCCCATCGCGACGTGCTTTCTCATTGCCATCTGCGCCCGTGCTGGCAAATTTTGTAACGGTACACGACTTTTCAACGCGAGATCTCCGTAGGTCCGAACGTGTCTACAAATGCTCGATAACCGGCACCATTCTGACCGAGGCGAAGCACATTAACCTGAGCCTACATTACCTGGAACAAGTCATAGTGAGTCTGGGTCAGGAGAGCGTGGGTCACATTCCTTACAGGTGCTAAACTCACTCGTAGATTTGTATCTATCTGATAGTACTATCTGTCGTTACACCGACAATTCACGAATTTTCCTTGCATTTTCTTGAACCACGTTGTGCATTAAGTTGGAAAGCAATTAATAATTAGATCGCGATCGTTCGAGGAAGATTACCATGTTCTGTGGAACTCTGGTTGTTTTCATTTTTAGAAATTCTTTATTGACGTCGATCTTGAGGGACAGTTTGGGAGGAAATTGTCTGACCGTGATGCTGGCGACTATGAGCGTCACCTCGTCGGATTTGGAAGTACGGAATAATTTCTTACTGCTTTATAATACTCATTGAATACTATTATTTAATCGCGCGTACTTCGTAATCGTCCAGGAAACAGTGTCCACTTGTAGATTTGCTCAAAGGGTTGCTCTGATAAAGAACTACCTGAAACTAAACTTGGAGACAAACATAGAGAGCGAGAACGCGTTGTTGAGGGCGGAAATCGAGAGGCTTAGGCAACAAATTCAAGCCCTGAAGAAGCAATCTGTTTAGTACTTTAAATAAAACGCAATGGAGTCTGCAATCGAGGTTTAGACTTGTTTAACGCTTCAGGAACCGATATCCGAAGACCTTAACGCCGAAGATAAGAGGAACCTGGACTCTGTGATCAGGCGTTTTCTGGAATCGAACGAACAGGTTTCTTGGGATTATGATCCCAAGAAAGTGCAGTATTGTTTCGAAAGCTTCAAGCGAGCTTTCGAGTTGAGTAAGGATCCGAAAAGCTACCTGAGAAAGCTGGAATATTATAAGGACCTGGTTAATCAAAGGGACCAGGAAATTTGTATCCTACGTTACTATTTATTTCTTTATCGTTTGTTTAAGGATTTCTTAACTGATAAATAGCATTGCTGATTGACAAGATAAAGAAGGAAAAGGATAAACAATGCAAGGATGCGAACGATGATACGTCTGTGATTAATAATATTCGGAATGATAAGCGAATAATCGAACGCGACTCCACAGTCAATCATGTTTCTCCAAAGAAACATAAACGAAGAACGAAAATTAGTAATCGAACGAAGATTAATTACAACGAAAATGTTTGCGACGATGATTCGGTGTCGAGGAACAAATCGTTCGTCACTGACACGCTAACGCCGGAGCTATTATCCTGTAATGTTGTTAATTTAACTTTAACGGATCTAATTGAGGATAAAAATGAAACGACTGACCAGCAGTTAAGCGAGAAAGCTAATGGTATTGGTCAACAGTCCTTGCCCAAGTTGGAAAGACAGCAGAAAAGTGTTAAAAAGAAGCGCAGTAATCCAACAGAGTCGAAAATGAAAGAGCAGAGCGAGCAAAGTCGTGTCGAATCACAAAGTGCTAAAGCGAAAATTATAACCAAAGAAACTTCTGCGTTTATAGAAACGGATATCTCGACTCCAGTTTACCAGAAGTTCTTAAGCTTCAATGCCCACTCTCCAAAAACCCCTTTAACTTTCAAAGAAGATATGAAAAATGGAAAGGAAGACTTTGATCGGAAGTTGAACTTGGACGAAAATAGCAATCATTTTGAGGATTTACCTCTGACAGGGGATCCAGAAATCGACGAAGAAATCATAGCGTTTTACAAAGCGAAACGATCAGGCGGTATTTACTAATAGTACCTATTTCTCGACGTATTATTTACAGCATATACAGAAGACGTAATAGTATGCAAGAATGCAGTATTATTTATCAAATATACGACTAATTACATTGTAGAAAAATTGTTTACAAATCGAAATATATATTAATAAATTCAATTGATTCTTACGCACGACACGTGAAATCATTGATTCTACCCTAATTACATTTCCAACGTTAATTCTTCATTCGCAAACTTCGATGTTCTCAGCACGTTAACGGCCCCATATCTAATTTTTCGCCGTACATTAGTGCTTCTAAAATTGTTAGTTTATTTTCGCGAAACAAGGCGAGACAATATCGTTTCGCCATGTTGGGATATTTTCGAATTTTGAAACTAAATAAATTATCGACATTCATTTTTATAATATCCTTATACACGAAGCCTTGGATTCCTGAAAAATAAGACACGCATATTTTATTCGATTAAAAGTATTCAGATAATAATTAATAATTACCTTTATACTCGTAGATACGAAGTTTTCTTTTGTTCTCGATGAAAACGAGCAGTGTCTCAATTGCCCCATCGAAATTAAGTATCACAAAGGACGTTGGTCTGTGCGCCTTTATGGTTTGTAGGATTTTCTTCTGGTTCCCATCATTATTACCGATCTAGATAACATGGAAGTATAATAAAGATGAAACGCGTATTTTTTAAGTAATTTGTTAAATATGCAACTCACAAATATGCGATTCTTGCTGACTTCTTTGTCGTAATACAAAAACATTTCCTTCTGGAGAAAACCAGCTTCGAAATTCAGGATTTCAGGCTTCCGACTGGACTTTCTGAGACTCGAGTTGCTAGAACGATTAATGTTATACTCATAAATACCGTGTTTGCTGGATAACAGCATTTGATCTGTCTGCAAAACGATTTGCATGTCATCATCGTCTGCCACAGGCGAAAGAGACTTCTCCAATTCCTCGATTATCCTTCCAGATGATCGCAATTGTTCCCTGTTATTAATTAACATCAAGAATACATCCTGATTTACCTTTCTGCTATCTATATTATGCCCAAGATCTAGAACGTGCTAAAAATTTGAACAAAGTGTAAGTACAAATATGGAACCACTTTTAACTTCAGATGTAACAGTAAAAATTACCTGAAATTCGTTGTTCTTCAGCATCCACAAGTTGACAGGGCTTCTTCCACAAGAGCTTCTTCCCGAGGTGAGGAAATACAAAACCTGATAGTGTCTGAAAGTGGTCCATTGTTCGACCACTCCAAAGTCAGACACATTCCCGATCAACTCGAATTTTGTCCCGGTAAACAAGAACGTGTGCAGTTGACACGTGTTGTAACTTAACAATAAGTAATCTAAATCGTCCAACTCGAAATGGTAAGCACTAACCAGTATATTGTCGAATTTGATACTTTGGAGATAGTCGAATGCATTGAACTGATAAATTTGTTTCTCTGCGTAGCGTTTCAACTCGGTTAAATCTTCACACACGGAATCCAGATTCTCCTATAAAGAAAATATTCGCGTTTCTGATTAAACGCTCAACACGTTAATACATAAAACGTGTACTCGAAATAATTTCCGTACGTTCTTCTCGTCCAATATGGCGTCCATTTCCAAATGTCGTTTAGCTAGAGTGTTTGACACATCTGTGACGTTTATGCCATTTAAGATGTCACTACCCGATGACCCTTTCTTGAAATACACGTTGCCAAACACGGTCCATTTACCAGAAATAAACTGTTGTAACGGATCGTTGGATGTAACAGCCACTGCTTTCCATCTGGATGGATCTATTCCATTCAAGTAGCTCAACACTCGAAGACTTTTGTTAAAATACACCGGCGATTCAAACACAAAGTTACCTGTAGGTACAAACGTTTCGTACAGAATCATTCAGCGAGTGTTATAAAATAAATCTACGAGAAATAGCTTTTAGATGGCTTACCGACTATGGGACTTCTCGAATTCAAAGGTATAAACGTAGTGGTGTCGATACCATTGATAAATCGCGGATTGAAATCGTGGTGAATATGAACCTTACCGCGAAAATTGAAATGTCCTGTTATGTCCTGATCACCAGTCATCTGAAAGAAAGAGATGTGCACGATACTGAGGTCAACTTTCATATGCGACACACAATTCCACCCAGAATGATTTAGCTTGCTATTAAAGTAACGATTAGTCGTAATATAACTCCAAGATGGCCTTTAACCCTTTGCACTCGAGAGGTGACCCTCAGTCACCGTGTCATAAAATTTGAAAGATCGATATTAATTAATATATCAAATTTAGTGTAATGTAACAGTGCGCAAGGTATCGAAATCAAATAATTCTACAATTCTATTATTATACAATTCTTTATTTACTGCTCAAACAAGTATCGTCAGTTTTTTCATAGAGAATCTTTGATTTTCTACTCTTCTCTAGCCAAAAAATCGTCGAGTGCAAAGGGTTAAATGACCTTGAATAACCTTGTGTGACTTTAAAACGACCTCGAATGACACTGGATGAAACATACCATGAATGTGGTGTCTTGAATCTCTTGTAAATTTTGCTCGTTGACTCTCCCTAAAATCTGGAGTTTCTCCACGGTGACATTACGGCAGTTCAGAGCAGGTACAGGTATCATTTGATCGGTGTGTAATGGTATTAATAATTTCATGTCCAAATCGTTGAACTTTTCCACTTGTACGTTAGACTCGAAAATCACATTAGTGAATGTGAGAGGCACTGCGGAGAAAATGAATACTTTCAATTACATCGATTACGTGTTCATTTTAATTATATTTCCAAAACTTGCTTCGACGTATACCAAAGTGACTGTGCTTTTCTACTGACCCTCGATATGATTGGGCCTGTTGAGATAGAGAATGTTATACTTCAAGTCGTTCACGTCTATTCCCATAATGGATTTCGTTTCGAATTTTGTCCCAACTTGAACATTCTTTTTCACCTTTATACCATTCTTAAAAATAATTTTCGATTTAACAGAGAACGGCTTGTTGATAAAAATAGCTTTTTCCTGAAATCTTTTCAAATCCACGTCATTCAATTTATCACGCACGGTGAATTCGTCGTTAAAGGTAATGGAGTTCTTGAACACTTTCGTGCCAGAAATCGTGACGTTGTCCTCGTTTATGAAAACTACCGAATTTAAGAAGCTATCGAAATTTCTCCCATAAATCAATCCATCAATATGCAGATTTTCTATCGTTGTATTTTCAGGGAAACGAACATTGCCGTGCAACTCGTAAGTATTGTTTCCCAAAGATTTGAATCTGTTCATTAGATCGTAAAATGGTACATCGCCAATGTTCCCGCTTGTATTGAATTCCTTAAGAACTGTCACGGTACCTGAAAGTAGAACGCGGTATTTAAAATTTCCTATTTCGAATAATTAAATATGTTGAAGCGTACAATGAATAGCGGGTACCATTTACGACAACGGGACCCGTGAGCACCTGGTCCTTGAATGGATCTAGCAGGTTCTCTATGGGACGTCCATTCAAAAAGGAGGTGTGCAGTTCATCGCAATTGATTCTATCGAATACTTTAAACCCGTCGATTGTTATATTCGTATCGGTTTTTAAAACAGTGTCAAGCACGAGTTCCGTGAAATTGAAGCCATTCAGTAGACCCAAAATCGTGAGATTCTGTATGGAAACATCTTCCTTGAAAATCACAGTATCGATTTCATCTTCGTTGTACAAGTCTGTGAAGACTTTTCCGTTAAGTAAATTCGTCGTGATCATTCCTGTAACTTGCAGAGAGTCCAGAGTCACGTTTCCATTGCGAATGTTATGCAGGATGTCATCTAGTTTATCTTGCAGCATCTTGATCTCGTCGATCGACATTCCATTGATAAATGACACGTTTAGGCGATCGGCTTCCAAACGATCAGTGATGTATTCGTCGATAATATTCGCGGACGTGGCATTTTTCACGAAATCATCGAAATCGAGACCATTGATAACCTTTGACGTTATTTCGTCCGCGAACACAGTCTCCGCGATTAAATTCTCCAAACTAACGTTCCGAAACGTTTCGTTTACTCTTTCATTGAAAACTTCGTACGATATGTTACCGTTTAACGTGTCGAAAAACAATTCGTCTACGGTAATTGGAGATTTAAACACAACTGCTTTATCCAAACAACCACTGGAGTTCGTATTCTGCTTCAAAAAATCTTCTAATTTCTTCGTGGCTCCAAACGTCACATTTCCAAAAGTGACATTCGGCAATATCTCTATTAAATCTGAAACGAAATCCAACAGATAATTAAATGACAAACTGGTATTAACCACTTAGAAAAAGTTGATCTTAGAATTTGAATTAAAATTCTTCTTGAAAATAAAAAATTAGAGGCTATACTTGGAAACACTTGGTCAGTGTCTGTAGTTGCAAATTCGTCCAGTAAATGTCCATTCACCATGCCAGATGTAATGGTAACGTTGGATTTCATTGCAACGTTATTTAAAAACGTCTTAGTTCCAGTAATTTCAACTTCCTTATCGGTTCTCAGCAACAAATCCCCTAAATTCAATGGACGTTTGTTCATGAACAGCGTGTCGTACGTAACGTTCCCCAAAACATTCAAATTCAAGAACATGATATCCGATGAAATATTGCAAGTTTCGTTCAGCAATTTATTTTCTGTCATGTTTAATCCCGTTACATCACCGTCTATCTGCAGTTGTAACAATATTTTGCAATTGAAGAAACACGCCTGAAATTCGAATAGAACGTACCCTCAGCTCTCCATCGATCGTTAGATTCTCAAAGGTCATCTCTTTCTTTAGAACATTTTCCTTATTCAAAATTACGTAGTCCTGGAAATCCACGCCGTTTAGAGTGGTCACGTTTCCTAATTCCGTCGTTAGCACAAAATCGAACGATTTTCTACCGGTCACGATGACAGGAGTGGTACTACTCATCAGGACATAGTCTTCCGGATAGAAGAGATCGTTCACTATGACCAACTTGAAGATATCCGAGCTCAGCGTCTGAAATTAACATGACACAACTTATGCTACTGGTGTAAAACTTAAACCCAAACTAAAACTTTACCCCTTCGATAACAGTATCCCCAGGAATGAACATCGACTTGTCTTTCCACACAATGTTCTTCATCAATGTCTTCCAATCAATCCCATTGATCGTAGAGAATGAAAGGTGTCCATCTATCTCGGCTCGATTTATTCGAGAAAAATCCACGTGACTATAATCCTCCATGACGTCACCGAAACGAATATTCTCTATGGGAATACCATTCACCGTATGTACTGTCAGATTTTCAGCTTGAATGGAATCCAACTTCTTGTTCCCTCCAATTACATGGTACTCTCCACTAGAGTCGGAATCAGTCGTGATATTGAAGTCATTGATAGACAGTGCTGTTAAGTTTCTGACGTACAGGTTGCCAGTAACGTTAATATTTCCAAATATTTCTACGTCCGAATCGAGACGCAATTCTCCCGAATTAGAATCTACAACGCTCGTCAGTTTCGCATCGATTTTATCGAGTTTTTCTTGTACACTTTTCAGTTTATCCTCGAATTTGTTCGTATCGAATGCCAGGTCTTCATTCGTTAAATTCGTAGCACCTAACGTGACCGACTGATAGATCACGTTGTCGGATATAGTAGCATTTGTCGCGTTTACTATGCTAAGATTCCAGAATCCAGTGACCACAGGATTCACCAAATAACTCTTGTTAAGACGTGCCTCTGTTTCATCTAGAATTTTCTCCTGGTGGTTCAGTGTATCCTAAACAAACACGTCGAACGTCCGTGATTTTTAAATATTCTCAGAATGTCTGCTAATTGGCAATATAAAGAATAAGAGATGTCATTTAGAGACTAGGAGTAAAGTACAACTAAAAGATTAGACTAATGACTGATGATTACGCGATCGATCGACATTCTCATGTATTTCCTTCGACTATGCACACCAAAATTCGCCAAAGACTCTCTCTGACCGAGTCTCCATAAACTCTATAAGACTGCCTCAAGATTGACCTTACACCTTTATTTAAACCTAACAATCTCTCTTGTTTCACACACAGGCTTTCGTTCTCGATTTTCACCTCTCATTTTCGAGAAAGGCCCAAGTGTTCCCATGCACTCACTTTCGATCCCAAAAAATATCCTACACGTATACCTACATTTAACAAACGTTGCAAGATCAGTAGCCTCTCGGTGGTGTACTGAATCGGATGTTTCACACTTTTCAACTCCGTATGGAGTTTCACGAATCGATTGCCAAAGATGAATCCGTACTTTGGAAGTGGCGTAATCTTTGAAAGGTCGAAACGAACCTCAGCTCTCCATCGATCGTTAGATTCTCAAAGGTCATCTCTTTCTTTAGAACATTTTCCTTATTCAAAATTACGTAGTCCTGGAAATCCACGCCGTTTAGAGTGGTCACGTTTCCTAATTCCGTCGTTAGCACAAAATCGAACGATTTTCTACCGGTCACGATGACAGGAGTGGTACTACTCATCAGGACATAGTCTTCCGGATAGAAGAGATCGTTCACTATGACCAACTTGAAGATATCCGAGCTCAGCGTCTGAAATTAACATGACACAACTTATGCTACTGGTGTAAAACTTAAACCCAAACTAAAACTTTACCCCTTCGATAACAGTATCCCCAGGAATGAACATCGACTTGTCTTTCCACACAATGTTCTTCATCAATGTCTTCCAATCAATCCCATTGATCGTAGAGAATGAAAGGTGTCCATCTATCTCGGCTCGATTTATTCGAGAAAAATCCACGTGACTATAATCCTCCATGACGTCACCGAAACGAATATTCTCTATGGGAATACCATTCACCGTATGTACTGTCAGATTTTCAGCTTGAATGGAATCCAACTTCTTGTTCCCTCCAATTACATGGTACTCTCCACTAGAGTCGGAATCAGTCGTGATATTGAAGTCATTGATAGACAGTGCTGTTAAGTTTCTGACGTACAGGTTGCCAGTAACGTTAATATTTCCAAATATTTCTACGTCCGAATCGAGACGCAATTCTCCCGAATTAGAATCTACAACGCTCGTCAGTTTCGCATCGATTTTATCGAGTTTTTCTTGTACACTTTTCAGTTTATCCTCGAATTTGTTCGTATCGAATGCCAGGTCTTCATTCGTTAAATTCGTAGCACCTAACGTGACCGACTGATAGATCACGTTGTCGGATATAGTAGCATTTGTCGCGTTTACTATGCTAAGATTCCAGAATCCAGTGACCACAGGATTCACCAAATAACTCTTGTTAAGACGTGCCTCTGTTTCATCTAGAATTTTCTCCTGGTGGTTCAGTGTATCCTAAACAAACACGTCGAACGTCCGTGATTTTTAAATATTCTCAGAATGTCTGCTAATTGGCAATATAAAGAATAAGAGATGTCATTTAGAGACTAGGAGTAAAGTACAACTAAAAGATTAGACTAATGACTGATGATTACGCGATCGATCGACATTCTCATGTATTTCCTTCGACTATGCACACCAAAATTCGCCAAAGACTCTCTCTGACCGAGTCTCCATAAACTCTATAAGACTGCCTCAAGATTGACCTTACACCTTTATTTAAACCTAACAATCTCTCTTGTTTCACACACAGGCTTTCGTTCTCGATTTTCACCTCTCATTTTCGAGAAAGGCCCAAGTGTTCCCATGCACTCACTTTCGATCCCAAAAAATATCCTACACGTATACCTACATTTAACAAACGTTGCAAGATCAGTAGCCTCTCGGTGGTGTACTGAATCGGATGTTTCACACTTTTCAACTCCGTATGGAGTTTCACGAATCGATTGCCAAAGATGAATCCGTACTTTGGAAGTGGCGTAATCTTTGAAAGGTCGAAACGATCGAGAATGTTGTTGGGTAACTGAATCTTTTTGAAACTCAAGCCCTGCCAGGCTAGCGCGGACACGGTGGAATTTTTTAATTGAATCAACAGCAACGATTCGTCTCTATACGTGTCCAATCTTATGCTTCCGACCCACGTGATCTCCGACACATCTGTAGCGAATGTAAATCAATCGTTTGAAGGAGAATCACGATAACTTAAATATTTCACGAAAGACAGTCTTACCGAATTCAGAGTCTGTATTGAATTGGAACTCCCCGTTCACAGAGTGAAAGAGACCGGCTTCCGGTCCAGAAATCGCCAAAAACTGCAGATATCCACTTTCGAAACAGACGAAGTTCTGTAAATCTTGCGACTTTATAGTCTGCACGTTCTGGAAGATATTTGTCTCCATGGTATTTCTATATTCGTAGAGTAAGACGTCGTTCGCGGTTTGAACAGCGAGCAAAATATTTTCGTAAACGGAGCACACCTGAATATCGAGTGCGCTTGGCACGAAAGATCGATGATGAAGCCTATATAAAAATTCGAATAATTAAATTAAAGATGTAGAAAAATTCTCGGTAATTAATAGAGGATTTAAAGAGACGATTAATTACCAAAAGTGGAAAGTATCGGTCGCCAACTCGATGTTGAAGCCATAGACGTCGATGAACGAATATTGGGGCCCGATATGCATGTCGTTGTCATTCAACAGCAATATTTTATACGGCTCTTCGTGTTGGATGAACGTTATATCCTTTATACGTTTCTGTATGGGCCACGACCAAAAGAACTCAAAGGAATTTCCATCTACGAGCTTGTACCATCGTAACAAAGTTCCATTAGCCGATTCCACGCACAAAACGGCCACTATGTCGAACTCGGAACGAAGACTGATCACTTTGAACGTTAATATAGCACCGTCTACATGCAGATTCACTGGATCGTCGACTGCAGGCTTCTCCGAATCGAATTTGTAAAAGAAAAGTGTAGACTTTTCAGTTCGGAATAGGTAATTGGTGCCATTTACATCTAGAAATTGCCAGTCTGTCGCTGTTTCTGGTAATTTTGGATACCGGTGGACAGAAATGTTCGACACGACGAGATCTGAAATCAATAGAGGCAGTTCTCAACGTTTAGAAATTTACAAAACCTTGTAGGGTGTAAATGAAATAACATTTCACACGATACCTTCTCTATTTCCAACACCAGTACCGAACTCGTACTCCATCCAAATCGGCGATTCATCTTCGGAATTCCGTCGATTTCGTGATAAATCGATATCTTGCAATTGGTCCAGGATCTCCGAGGTTTCCAGGATATTCCAGCAAATCGTATTATTCGCGTAAAGTAAAAGGAATAGCAAAATCGTAGGACTACGTATTGACGGAGACATTTCAGCGCAGCTATTAGATCGAATGATCTCTGAAATCGTACTCGTGACGTTCGACCATCGAATCCAAAATATTTTGATCGGAATCGAGTGTACGTAGAGTGACTCTCAAGGTATTCGCAACGACTTCGCGCTCTATTAAAATATTAGAATAAACTAGAAGTTGGAAATAAATTTGTTTAATCATCGGTTGCCACCCGAGACTTCTCTTCTTGAATAATTTATCAACCGATAAGTTTTTCTGCTTCATTTGTACATGCTAATTGTACACTTTCACAAATAGATGGGTCATGCAATGTTAGTTGCTCGTTTTCTTTAGAGAAAACGTTTTATTCAGTCAACACATCGTACAAAACGATTACAAACAACGTGCATAAATAACTACGTGTCATGATACGTGTGACGTAACAATTATCCCTGAAGTTCGGACCATAAGAATTATCAGTGCATAGTACCCCAAAATTTTCCAAAAACAATACCTACATAAACCATGTATAATTTCTTAATCCTCCATACCCCTTTCAACGATATATTACCTGTATGTACATATGATTTAAACGAAAACAATGGTTATTTTGATCTTCGAACGTAACGTTAAATTCGTTACTCAAGAAACGCAATATACACTATGAAACCCTGTGCTACGAACAATTTCCAGTATTACTAATTTCTAAGGCACGGTCACTGGTAAGAATCTCGATCTGTCGCCAACTTTCGGCTGGAACCTCAAGTTGATCTTCTCTTTGTCCTCCTCGCCGACTTCCAGGAACGAGTTCCAGTCCACCAAGAAATAGAGACCGCTTTTCCTTCTCGGAGGCAATACGGGATCGGGTTCTTTGGTCGTACCACCGAAAGACTCCTCCAGAGCCATCAGATTCGTAGCTGTCGTGGAAGTATCCTCGGACGAAATCTCGGCTGTCGAATTCGACTGGTCAGAAGCTGCTCTCGCAGAATCTGTCGTCGTGGAAGTACTTAACGTGGTTTCTGCCGATTCTGTTGACAAGTTGCATCATGGATTCGCGTTTAAATTTTGTTTCACGCTGTCCCGTTGATGGTGTAAGTAATAAGGTCGAAAAATATCGTAGTCGAGCGACGAGCTCTGGGAGTTGGTAAGAAAACAATCGCATGCATTCGGATTACAATTCCCGGGATACACGATGTTCCAAATAAGAATGGGTATTATACAGTGGAGTGGGAGTTGATGTATCGTTAGGATTGAACGTTCAGTTAGCATACACTGAATACGCTAATGATTCAATTTCTCTGGGGCATTAGTTACAAACGGAAACATTAGTACTCTATGTACAGAGTGTTTCTCATAATTAGCGAGAAGATAAGCGTGTAGAAAGTGGTAGACCTCGAATTAATCTGATGTTTTCATCGATCCTTTCCCGTCAATTGTCCTGTGGTGAGAGGAAAACATTTAACATGGAAATCGACGCATCGACGCCGTTAGGACGAAAGAAAGAGAAAGCGATTGAGGAACACAATGAAAAATGTCTCGTGGTGTGTTCCGTGTAAGCGAAGGGTACGAGACGAAGAAAGAAAATGCGAGAATTCGAGACAAAATTCTTTGGTATAACGTAGAGAATTAGTAGAGATCCGGTGGTCAACCGGATCCCCGTCTAATCGTATTAAACACGTTGGTTAGTATATTCCGAAGTCTTATTAATCCCTGAATGATTCTTCGAACCCAAAACTCCGAGCTGCCCAAAATGTATATGATAAATTGCTTAATACCAGTTGCAGGGGAGGAAGGTGTGATAGTTTGTTCCGTGGTGGTGGTAGTAGTGGTCGCTTCTTGCTGCTGTTCCTCTTGCCTCTTCACCTCGTTTCTCACATTCTCGTTGTAGGTCTTGATGATCTCCTCGAGCTTCAAAGGATCTGGACCATCTTTCAAAATCTTCGTAGTTTTTAACAGATCATTCGCGACTTTTCTAACTTTCTGAATATCAGCCTTACCCTCCTGGACCTGCTTCACGGTGTCCAAAAGCTCGTTAATCTTGTTCCTCTGATTTTCATCCTTCAGCGTCACCTCGTGAGGCTTGAACACGTGAAACTTGGACGTCTCCGTCGATTCCATGTCCTCCACGGTATTGATCACGGCTTTGCTAGCCCTCTGCGAGTTAGATATCAGACCAATGTTCTCCAGAATCCCTCTCATGTTGTGGGGTACAGCTTCGATCACGGAGGGGGCCTCCGTGGACGCCTTCATCGACTTCTGCTTTCTTTTGTTGTTCACACCGAGCCCAAATTTCGCCAAAAACTCCCTCATCTCTTGATCCTTCACGCTAGAAGTAGGAAGCGGTTTGAAGTTCGTGTACGAGTTCAAGTTGACGGTGGTTTTCTGCGTTGTGGTGGTCGAGGACTGGTCCAGGTTCGAAGTTTGGAGACCAAATCTTTGGAAGAGCATTTGAACGTCTGGAGTTAAATTCTTTACTCCCTTCTTGATCTCGGATCCTGTAGTTTCAAAGGTGTTTTGATCTACAATCGATACCGCGTTACTTCCGACGGAAGTCAGACCTGAAATCGAGCCCTGAATACTATTCAGGTCTGGAACTTGAACCTTGCTCTCCAGGATATCCTTGTTCTTCTTATAAACATCCTCGACGTTGCTGTTATTGTCTGGCCGTAAGCCAATCGAAGCCAACAGATCCATAACCTCTGACCTCACAGGCATGGACGTGGTAGTAGAGATAGTATTAATTGGCGTAGCTTGACGGAATCCTGCAGAATTCAGGGAATACGTAGAACTATATTTTACTTTGGATGACGTTTCGGTGGACATTGGAGTGACATAAAGAGCAGTTGGTCTTTCAGAACTGATCGCCGGAACTTCTGTGCTTCTCGTGTCTTTCGTGAAGACTTCTGATTTCTGCGTGGAAGAAACAGGAAAACGATCTTCAGGATCCGAGATAATGGTTGGAAGGAACGGTACCTTGTCGAGTTTAGAAGGCAAAGTTGGTTTCGTGGTAATCGGTGGCGCGTTATAACGCCACTGACTGGATGTCAATATATTCTGGTTTCCTCTGATTTTTTCCAAGTCGATAGTAATTTCCTTGGAAGCTGATTTTGTAGTTGGTTCGTCGGTAACGCTGGTGCTATAGATAATTTCCAACTCTGAACCGTTGCTTTCATTACCTCTGTAAATTGGATACTTCATCGTGGTCGTTTTCTCAGCGGCGTGTGCGTTCTTCTGAAGATTCTCCAGGTTGAAACTAAACCTGACTGGCGTAGAGTCCAGCTTCAACGTTTCCTTTAATGGTACCTTCGTACGCACTTCTGAGTACGTATCTCTGTGATTTTTATACCGATTCTTCATCGTGGTAGACTCTTTCAAAGTCGTCTTATAAGAGTCAGGATTTAGTACCAAGTTTTCGGTAACCAAAGCCTCCGAATTTTGTACATCGTTGTCCTCTTTTCTCGCGCCTTCTTCCACTGACAAGTTTTTGCCGGTCTCCGATTTCAAAAAGTCAGGAATCATCTGTGTCATAGGCGGTTTCGTGAACAGATCCTTCAAATTTCCAGACGATTCCTCGGCACTGTAAGGAAGGACAACCATGAGTGCTCTTTGGTACAAATTCCTCGCTCTCTCAAACTTTCCTTTGTCTTTAAATTCCTTCAAATCCCGCGACGTGATATTTTGCAGAATATTCACTATTTCTTGCCTACTCAGCTGGGGTAGACTGGAGTCTTCGCGAACCTGTCTCTCGACTTCCTCGATCGTACGGTTGATTGAGCTCTCAATCTCGAACCTCGACGGAAGATCATTGTCCTGACAGTGACCTAGACTGAGGATGAGCAGCAAACAGAGAACCACGAACTGCACACAAACAATTATTGCATCTATTAATTTCTCATCGCTTCGCTACTTAATCTAAATGAAATTGCAAACCGCGCTATAATTCAAATTTGAAATACCAATTACATACTACGACTCGAAGGATGCCAACGCGTTTCGTCATACGGAAGTACTTCCAATGATTTTTATTCGTAACAATTACAGCAATCTGACTTACATTCGCGATTATTTACGAGATTCGTTCTCCGCATAACTCTGTTATAACAGTGCAAAAAGCGATTAATTTGAAACGTTACCAACGTTTGTTTCGAAGAATCGAATCTTTCACGGAAGGTTCTTCGTCGGGGACCATAAATTCGTCACGAAATATCGGTGTAGACGATCGTTGATGGAATTACCATCGAGTTTACGTAAGATCGAGAGTATTATATGCGCGTTTTTCCCTTCAAACATCTAAAAACGATTGCAATCAACTCGGTAGCGTATCTCTTTCATATTCATAAAGCAGCTCTCGCGAAATATCCTTGACTGAATTGTCCGATCGAGAAAGTCCAGCGACTTGACTGTGTTATGCAATTCAGCGTAAAAATTGAACCATTCTTGAATTCGAGAAATATTATTTTGAGCAGGAAAAGTAGATAGAATTGCACGATGCCATAACCACAATTTTCAGTCACGCTTGTTACGTCGCTATGAAATATAATAATTAGCAGGCAGGAAATTGCCGTAGCAGAAACGGTATTTTGTAGTACTCGATCTTTTCATACTTTTTACTTGCACGGCTACCAATTTTTATCCAAAACGAACGATTCGGAAACATCGTTCTACAAGCTTCCTTCATCTCGACTCCTTTTCAAACAACTTTCTAGACAATTTAAATTTATGCGCGCGAGTCCTGAAATGACTACTATTTTCCGGCTGGTTTGAAACGGAATTAAACGCACAAAGTTCTCACGAAATTGCTTCGAAGATACACTTGTCTTCCCTGTCGCTTCGTCTTCGTCTATAAACTTTGATCGG